TCTACACCTTAAACATTGATGGCCTTGTCGATGCTCTCCCTTTACAAGAAGCCAAAAAGAGAAATCGCTTGTCTCAGTTTTCAATGCCAGATCTCAGTCAAGGGGAGAAACTTGTATCTCAAGATGACACATCACCAGAGTCAGAGACCAGAAGTGACCCCGTCTCTCCTGGCAGCGACGAGCCGAGCCTGTCTGGGTCTGATAGAAATGTCAGCGTCCACTATGCTTCTGTCAGTGTCCCCCATCACCACCCAGCAGATGACCCCAACACCATGATGTCTCCCGCAGCTGTCCTGATGATGCACCAAAGTAATGGCCATAAGCATCTACATCACCACCATCATTACAAGCCGCCGGCAGATCCTCGCTACCCCCCAAACGGCTCACTCGCTTCTCAAATGTTTCCTGTTTACCGCCAGGCTACGCCATCTTCAGTTCGATGCTACCAAGAGTTACCCAGCACAAGAATCATTGAAAAGAGAGAACCCCTGGTCTCACAGAGGCCCCCGGCTCATCCTAGAAGTGCATCTGGCATCCCTTTACCTGACTCAATGAAAATGAACCCCATCACACGCCCACCGAGTGGTCAAGCCAAGACTCCGCCTGTTCGTGAGCCCCGTAGTCCCCGCCCAAACAGTTGTCCACGCAGCCAAAGTTTTGAGGGACGTCCTGGTAACCCGCCATCCCAAACCCAGAATTCATCTAATATGAACCGATCGGTCAACCACTCTCTCAACAACCCCAGCTCACAGCCGTCATCCAGGGGCCACCGCCAACCGGTCGTCCTGGACAGCTCTGCTGCCGACAGGTTCATGTATGGTAACTTTGATGACGACGGATGTAGTACATGCTCAAGCTCCAGTAGTTCAGATGACTTTGATTACAATTACCATTTCAGCTCTCGCAACGCTAACAAAATTTCGTACGTTGATGACATGGGTATAGGGGGCACTGTCAGCAGCCAATCAGCAGCTCAGGCCAGGGGGCGTCGGCACAGACAGAAAACCAAACAATGCGTTCTCCAATAGCAGGAACATTTTAATTTTCAACTTTGTGCATTTAATTGAACTGGTGGGCGGATCAGAGCCAAATGTCAATAAGATTTAACTTGATGAAATTCTGTAATAATCAGAGGGGATGTGATTTACATTTGTGAACAAACTTTTGTAGTTTACAGCGTGTTATCAAAATGTACAATCATTATTCATGGCCATAAATACCTTACCATAAGAACATCAGTGAATTCTTTCATTGGAACAATCTGCATACCCGGCTGTCAGGGGGGGGGGGGGGATTAAAAAAGGAAAAAAAGGATTAATCATCTAGTAGTGAATGTGGTGGGGGAAAGAACCTTTTTATTATAGCTAGCCGAGGCTACAGCGCGTACAAAAAGTGGAGCTTGATATTTGCTATGTATTTTAAATGAAGCATGATGACTTTTTTTGAGTTTCTTCTTAACTCCTGATGTGATCAGTGACAACTTGATTATTGATGTTTTCATCAACTCACAAAGTGTTTCTGAGCTATTTAAGTAATCAAATGTCATGTAAAACAATCAAAACAAATCGCACAGAAATATGGTTTGCAATTACACAATCATTTACAGTCAGGCTTGGCTAGAGGTCAATATTAGTCTTACGCTATAAGTTAATACAGAACAAACATAATCCATTTTATTTTCAAGTTAAGATTTTTTTAAAGTTTGTATTTTGTTTTACATTCAGTCAGACATTAAAAGTAATTTTTAAATAAAAGTTTGATAACAAAGTTAACCAATATATAATTCTTTCATTTTCCAAAAATTCCATGAATAGATGCACTATAAGTTTATCGTTTTACTTCACATAAATGTTAAGAGCATGTCACATGTATTAGTATCATAGACCCGACATTTTGAATGATCATAAACCTGACATTTGATATGACACATTTCATATACCTGAATTTTGGTATGGCACTTTTCATACTCATGAAATTTGGTATGGCACATTTCATATACCTGGAATTTGGTATCACACATTTAATATACCTGAAATTTGTTATGGCACATTTCATAAACCTGAAAATGTGTTAATTTCTAATCTCATCAATGCATCAAAGTTTTTTTGGTTTTTTATCAAGTTGTTGCTATAGTGTCACTGTAATGCTGGTCAGTAATGTGCAATAAACATTCATTGGTTGTCATGGCAGAGATTTAATGTCATGGTAACTGTCATGTATATTTATGTACCAATCAGGATTGACGTAATTGTTATAAATGACATAACATTTTCATGTATATTCACTTACCAACTAGGAATGACTTAATTGTAATGAATGATATTGCCATGTAATGAAAAAGATATGACATAATCATGTGCATTTTTTCTTATGGCATATTCTCGGGTCCCCAGGCACGTGCCAGTCAATGAAATGTTTCTTGAACAATTTGAAGTGACAGCAAATCTGTTCAGTGTAAATGCCCTTAAGAAGGGCAATAACCGTGTTGTGTTTTTTTCCTAAGACCTACTGACATTCTGGGAGAAGGGCATCCATTGTTTCCCCTTTCTATAAACAGTTGGGTTAACAGTGTCAACCTTTGATGTCTTCCTAACCCCAAACATCTATTCTACTTTGTGTAAATTGGTAATTTATATATTAAAATTATTCCTATGATAACCTATACAACCAAGCTTATCAAGTTAGGGCTTGAAGAGATTTGGGTAGCATTATTATTTATGTAGTCATCGAATGTAGTAAATGTTAAAGGTAGTTGTATCAAAAAATGCCAAGTCCAAAAGGCTTCCAGGCATGCTGCTACTGGTTACACAGTACATATCTAGTCAATATAGTTGTTCATGGTTGATAGAATCATTTATGATTCATCAATCAGCTCTTTATTTCATATATTTTAAGTATATAAGATAAGATTGTTTATTGATCCAAACAAATGGAAATATTTTTTTAAAAATCACATTGTATATTTTCATTTTCAGCACATTAATAAATTTGTATTTAAATCAAGACAACATTTTATAATTATATCAATTTAAACACAAGACATCAAAAGTATTTCTCTAGCGTAGAAAATGAACCATCACTGAACCCCTTTAGTGATAGTAAAGACTTTATTAGTGATCATTTAGATGTTTAAATTAAAATATTGGTAATATTTTAAGTTTCTTGTAAAATAATATCTGTATATGTTAAGTATTAATAATGTAATAAAACTCAAGACTTATAAACTAAGTGGAAAATATTTCTGACTAAATTAAAATATGATTCATTACTAAATGAGCTTTGACATCAAAATGTACAATTTCAATGATAACAATTATGTCTTCTCACCAATGCATATTTCTGTGTTGTTTTTACAAAATCTAATTTGTAATATTGAAATGGGAACCTAATTATATTTGGCAAGTTGTATAGTTTCTAACAAATGTTACAAATATTACATTTTAATTTAACTTATTAAAGAACTGCCTAAAGTTTGTTTTTTTTAAAGTCAGTTTAGACCAACATAAAAACTCTTGGATTTATATATATATATATATATATATATATATACGAAGTTTTACTGCTTGGTGGATGTAATAGATTTAATATATCTATGGAAACTACTATCAGTGACTCTGTTGTTGAAATATATTATCACATCTGCTGGTACATGTCAAGCTGGTCAGTATTCAAACAGTATTCCTGTGCTTAGCTGTCTCCGTAAAACAATTCAACTACTTTTACATATTTTGTCATCACTGTACATTTTTTTTTGTTGTTACCTTACGTTACCTTATCAGTCCATACTATATACTTTAAAATGTATTTGTAAGCATGTCGCATTTCATCCAAGAAGATTCAATATGTTATGTAAGCTAAAGTACAATTTTGATTTTTCAAATGTTTTGTTATTTATAATGTGATGACAATTTGAATTGTTGGCAGTCGGAAGCTGAGTTACTTTCTAGTGAATAATGATTTGTCTCCCCCTCAAGATATCTCTTTGTATCTCATGCCTGCTATTTTTTTATTACTACTTCCCCTTCTTTTAAAATCCACTAATTGGAATAATGTTAAAGTACTTAAAGTTATATCAAAATAATTTTTTTTTCATTAAAAATTGACCCTAGGAAGTATAAAGTGATTATAAAAGCACTGATAGCAGTAAGACAAAAGACAAATTATAAATCATATTTTTAGTCAAGTGTGAGTGAAGTTTAAAAGTGTATTTCTAGTCAAAAAATTAGATCAAAGATTGCCTTTTTCTTCCCTCAACAACAGATCGTGCCTTCAATGGATTGTGGATTATTTTGCAAATTTACAATTATGATAATTTATTTCTGTAAATTTACAAATTTCTTTTTTTATGGTCTTGATTAAAATGTCAACATGCTGAAATAAAGTGAAAAACCTGTCTAAAAAATAATACCTTTTTTTTTTTTTTCATTTTCCTAACAGCAAGAAAATGAATGGCCAGTTAAAATAATCATAATAATATAGATTAGTGGTTCTCATGGTGGAAGTCATGAGGCTCTTTGTACTACAGGTTGTGCTTACAAAACATACACAAGTGGTGGGGATATTATTATTTTATAAATAGAGGTAAAGAAATATAATGGCTGGCTGATAATGATAAAGTTTGCATATTTTTTTCTTAGATCAGAAATATCTGGTAAAAACTTTAATTAATTTCCTGGTGGAAACTGTATTAGGTGAAGTATTAAATAGTGGTTACAGTTAAAGTAAGGGCTAATCAAGCTGTTCGATGAGTTCACCGATTAACTTGATGGTAAATATAATACAAAGAAACAAGAACAGGCCTTTTATTTTTGCTTTTGCTTCTCAAAATAATTGCACTTTGTCTTTTATTTGATATAAGTCAACATTGGTACTGTGATTGCATTCAACACCAGTATAAGATAAGTCTGAAAACATTCATGGTGTAAGCTGTCTTATACTTAAATAAGAAATTCTCTAGTGACATGAGTACACAGGAGACATGTATATAATTGCTATACAGAGATAAAATAAATTTCATTGGAATAGTCAACAAAACCATCATTCAAATAATGGACATTCATACAGCCACTAGCTCATGAATCATGTCTCAAAGCATTCAAATAATAGACATTCATAGGGACACCAGCTCATGAACCATGTCACAATACATCATTCAAATACTAGACAGTCATACTTGCACTAGCTCAAGAATCATGTCACGATACACCATTTAAATAACAGACATTCAATCATAGTGGCACTAGCTCATGAATCAGGTCATAGGATTTATAACAAGCTTTTGGATAATTTATATATGTATTTCTCTTTTTAAAAAATCACCAATTATATTCAATCATTTCAGTAAATTCACAAGGACTACAGAGTCTGATCTCACTCAATATATGGGGGTGTGGGGGGGACAGCAAAACAAACAAAATATTAGTCTAATTTGGTCTGAATTTGGAGTGTTTTTTTTGTGGTCAAGTTTAGACAAATTCTACTAATAAATTCAGTTTCTTCAATCCACTCTCAACTTGTTAATCATATTTATTTAATAACAACCATTAACTGGTGAGCAAAATTTGTATAAAAAAAAAATATTTATCGGTTCAGATTATTATGGTAGTTACTTCACCCTATCCAAGACGAAACATGAAATTTTAGATGAAAAAAAAATTTCCCTTTCTATGTAAGTTTGTACAAAATCTCTGGATTTGTATGTATGTATGTATCTAACTTCTAAAATGTTGACATACGAATTTCATGTGAGTGATTTTAAATTTTGACTTAGCCCTATTCAGAATATTCCATATTTCCAACTTAACCATCTTCTTGTTCTTGTGTCAAAAACACCCCAGGTACAGATGCACACAATTTACCCAATACAAAAAACCCACACTTATTGTGCCTCTAGTTTTTATACTTTTTAATGTTTATATAATCATTTAGAAAACACGTTATGATTCTACTGCTCATTCACATCAAAACTTTTAAGTAGATTAAACATCCTCTGTCCACATACCAAATTTCTCTTGAGTCGGTAGACCAAATATCTTCTGTCTACAAAGACAAAAGACATAATTCAAATCTTCCGTTGGTCTCAATAAGAAAAACATTGTCTTCTGTTTGTAGATAGAGTAAAACTCCATGCTGTTCAATGGTAATGGTTACTTGTCAGATCATATGAGTGAATGATTCCTGGAATAATAACAAAAGTCCACATAAAGATGTAACGCTGACATATCTTAGTGTTCTTATGTTCAAAGTATAAAAATAGCTGATAGCTAATTCCATAAAGAAACAAAGCATAACTTCAGGTTCTTTGACTTGTCTTATGATGGAAGCTAATTTCTGCAGTCTGTCTAACAAAAAGATGGTGATGATGGATTTGCCATTGTGCCCAGTCATTTCCACACCACACCCCCAACTTGATCAGTTCACAATCCGGTGGCACAACTCAAGTGGAATCAGAATTAAAATCTTGACTTCTGCTAAGATGGTCTTTTATTCCTTGACCTTGTGTTCATTGCCCAGCTTCTCGTCTGTCTTGGAGTATGAATGAAGGTGGAATTCTGTGGATGGGGCAAAGTTTTTATTTTGTATTAATAATTGGAGCATTCTGTGGACATAACTTTCATAAAACAAGTAGCCAGATCTACCAACAATTATTGATCTCATTAAGTTAATAAATATTATCCACGAATCCAAATCAGAAAACCATTCTGTTGGGACACATGGGAACTAAAAGTTGATAGATCAATTTTCTCTGGACCTGCAGAACTAATCTCCACAAACAAAGAAAGGAATAGACATTTAAAGTGTGGTTAATGGGTTCCGTGCTTTAATTTGTATTTTAAAATTATCTGGAATATTGGAATGAAAGGCTTAGATAAAATAATTTAAATAAGAGAAATCAAAACTGTCTAATTACCTGCCAATCAAAACAGTCAGCTTGTGCCACAAGCCGTGCCTCTTTACCATAAAAGGTATAATCTTGTATATTGTCCAGCCCTTTTATTGTACATGCGCTTGCAGCACTCCTCCCCACACGGAGACTGTCAGCCTCTGTCCATTCATCTTTGTCACTTTCATAATACTCCACATGTCCTGTTGTACCAGAGCCTAGTTTCACAGAAAAAATAATTAGCAACTATAATTATATCAATCTTAATAAGACGGTAATATAAAGGGGAAAAAGATCAGTGCAATCAAGAACTTACCCCGTTGCCTTAAGATCACAAATTAAAAGACTATGATAAATAATGATATTTTTATGTTGGCTGTAATGCCTGGTTCATCAAAAGGGTGTTTTGTATGTAGAGAGTTTGACCTACCGTCATATCCTCCAACCACATAGATCTTATTTTCTATGACAGCTGCAGCAAAATTACTCCTTCCTTTTAGCATTTCTTTCACTGGGAACCAGGCCCCTCTTTCAGGATAGTACTTTTCAACTAAAAATACAATGTATGTACAAGATGAAAGCATTACCATTAAAACTCAATTCATTAATATAAAATTATTTCCCTTTAATAAGCCTTGAGTTTTTCAAATTTACTATAACTAGACATTATGTTTTTGATTGCAATAAATGACCAAAAATGACTGAAGTTAACTGTATAGTGTATCATCTAACATTGCCTCACTCAAAAACCAAATGTCCCCTCATAATCTGCAAATTTCCTTCCAACTCCTCTGAGGGGAGTGTGCTCCATGCTGGGAAATATTAGCCTAACCTCAGATTGTACAATTTTTTTAATGATAAAGTATATAAATTCTAAGCATCACAAGTTCGAAGAATACTAAATACATTTCTCTGCTGTCACTGGCCAACAAATTAGATTTGAATATCAAAAGACAAACCTTCGTCTAACCTGACCGAGCCATTAAACCCTCCAATGGCATAGACGGCATGTTGAAAGGCCACCACTGTGACTCCACTCCTCTGACAACTCATGGGCGTAAGGAGAATCCACTGGTTGGTCTGAGGGTCATAGCATTCAGCCGTGTTCAAACATTCTGTACCACTGAATCCACCAGCCACGTAAAGCTTACCTACAGAACAAACATTCATTATACAGCCATGTAAAGATTACTTTCAGAACAAACATTCATTATACAGCCATGTAAAGATTACTTTCAGAACAAACATTCATTATACAGCCATGTAAAGATTACTTTCAGAACAAGCATACATAATACAGCCATGTATAGATTAGCTTCAAAACAAACATTCATAATCCTGCATGTTGATGGTTAAAGCAAAACTTTCTATGTAAATTAGTCAAACTTACTGAAGGAAGTTCAGAACAAACATTCTCATTCATATTAATACATTGCTGTCTCAGACAAAACTTTCTACTACACTTTCTGACTGATCCCAACCTCAGCTTCTCACTCTTACCCACAATATAAACTTGCTCAGTTGAAAAGAGCGATGTGACAAAAAAATAGATAATAATAATAGATGTTGCCCTAAAATCGTTCAAGCGATTCAACCCAAACAACTTTGTCTAACAGATACCTTATATGAGGATTGGAGGATTTATGTGAGGAAAATGTTGTAGCATGTTCTATACTGACATTTGAATGAGAAGACTGAGCACTTACCATCCACCCCACATGCACCAGCATCACTACGTACACTAGACATTTCACACACCATCTGCCACTGGTTTTTAATTGGACAGTAGCGTTCAACAGAACTGTGACGATTGGTCCCATCAAAGCCACCACATGCATAGATCAATCCTCCTAGTTCTGCAGCACAAACATAACATCTGCTACTGTGCATGGGAGCGATCTGAAAGTAAAAGATTAAATTATTCAATAATATTTCCATTTGACTAATTTTACAAGTTGCACATTCTCCTTTCATAGTTAACATTATTAACAAGATTTCATGCAAATTCTTTTTGACTTTTTTTTTCTCAAATAAATGAAAAAAATGTATGAACTTTTTTGCTTAATCCTTGAAACTTATATTCTAACAATTTAAGTCTTCAAACTGTGAAGCAAGTCAAGACTCACCTCTGACCATGTCTTGGTTAAGGGCTCAAATCGTTTAGCCGAGTTGAGATATTTGACTGTGGTGTACCCGCCTATGACATAGAGAGCTTTGTCCACTGACACCATGGCATGGTAAGCCAAGCTGTGTTCATAAGACTCACTTTCATTCTCATACCTGTCAAGAGTATTACTGGTTAAAATACATACCACTACTGAATGTTTCCACAGCAATTAAATTAAGAAATATCTACCATTAAATCCCTCCCATTATCATGTTTTATTTCTTACTATTGGATCCTCAGAATTTACCCTCACCATTTGTCAACCCTGTTGTCATATGTCTCCATGTCAGCACACACTCCATCACGGGACCAACCGCCAAGTACAAATATAACTTCATTCGGAACCCGAGGCCTCAGCATTGGATTGCCTAGTGACTGACAAAGTTGTGGCCTAATTATTGTTTCATCTCCACCTCTGCAAAGCTCGTAACCTATTAGTGACCAAATAGATAATTTAACACTCATTATTAACAGAAGTCATTATTATGCTATTAAAAAATAGCATAAATTTAGGTGCTGCCTGGTCAAGTGGTCGAAACTTTCAATCCCACGTTTGTGGTCTGGATTTCAATTCCCACTAGAGACCAAGTTGAGCAAAAACATAATCAGCACATATTTTTAAGAGAAGGAAACTCTGAATTAAAACCCCAAGATGGAGTCCCATAGGCAGACAACATAGACATAATGATAACTACTGTGACGCTACTGGTGCCAATCTGTATCATCCATAAATATGATGTTGGGTTATCCCTGTGCTTGGAGAGAGCTGACTTGCTGTCTAGGGAACCAGCTAAAGGAAAATTCACAGGCCTTGTGATTTTGCACTGAAAAAGTCGACACACTGATACCAGAATTCTTAAAATTAACTGAGATGTAAAAAAACAACGAATCTAAAGTTATTTTATAGGAGAAAGATTTCTTAGCAGCAGTTAAGATCACCTTTTTGTAAAATGCACATGGACTCTGAATCTGTTGGTAAAGAACTAAATTTTTGCATGAGAGCATCGTATGTTGACCTGGATACCAAGCCCAGTCTGACAGATGTCAGCAGCTGTGGGAGATATGCTGACCTCACATCCGGTAGGAAGTCAACCCACTTCACCACAGCGGCACATGCATAGTCTTCAGAATCGATGATCAAGTCATCTGCCCGAAGTATCTAGATAAAAAGTCATGCAAATAAGAATTACGATGCATGCCATTTAAAATCATTGATAATTATGCACTGATAGTTGTGTTTTTTTACCTACTATTTTTTTTTTTTTGGGTGAAAAAGTTGTAGCAGATATTCTAAAAGGGGGAGTGGGTGTAAAGGATCTTGTGGATGCCTGCAAGCTTTCTTTCTTTGTGATATGCAGATTTAGGCACACTGTGTTCATTTTAGTATGTAATTTATATTTTAAATTGTGGATGTCCTCTATGGCCGATCTAGATTTGAAACTGTGAAAAAAATTATAATCTTAAACCACCAAGCAGCTATTAAAAAACTTCATAAGGGAGATCACTCTACATATTTGTAAACAAAGGAAGTGGTGCTTGTGGGGGTGATGATGTTGGAAAAGGCACATACTTTTTTGCAGATGTTCTTTAAGGAGACTAAGGAGACTATATAAATATAAATACCTGAACTAATTCATCTGGGGTGAGCTGAAGAAATTCATTGCTGGATGTTGAAAGGAAATGAAAGTTTTTGAGTAAAAAGGACCATGTGTGGCTTTCAAGGGAACGACAGTGGAGGTACTTGGCTATCTTGTATATACCAATGGCATTTTCTGTATTCATGTGTTCTAACAAGAAGTCCTCACAAACCTACACAAAAAAATAAATGAAATGGTGGAAGCTAAAGCTTAAAATTATTGGCCCCATAATCTAGACAAAATTTTCACACCCAGGGAACAAACCAACTAACAACCAATCTTCATTTACACAATAATTATTGCACTTAAAAATTCATGTGGTTTTAAAATTAAAGATAAATTAGAAATCTGAATGTGAAAAACAAGAAATAACATTCGTGGCATGTGACAAAATGGCCTACCTTTAAAAGTCCCAATACATTAAGTCTGTCAGCTGTCACTATAATAGATTCTATGTTGTTTGCACTGAGATTTGCTTTGTGGGTGTATGCAAACTGGACAATGGCCTGGGAAATAAAAATAATCATTCCCCTTACAATGGCAAGAACTATGTCGCTTGAAATCCTCAAATTACATTGCCAAAAAATCAATGATCAAAGAGTGCCGGTGGCAAAATCGAATCCTTTAATTTGAGATTTTCATATCCTCCATAGCATTATCCATCCTACATTAAGTTTAGTAAGATAAATTCATGCTGATAAAATTATGGTAAATAAATTTTTAAATTTTCATTGAGACTAAATTAGTAGGACCATATTTAATATCAGAGGCTAAATTTTTGTATAAACTCATTAGTAATCTATCAAATTTAAAATATATATTTTTTTTTAAATTTAAAAATCAGTATTTAAATTTAGGTTTACTCCCTCATAAAAAAGAAAGTTACCAATATTTTTTGTAATAATCTTAAGATTTACCTCCATGTCTGAATAAGTGACCCCTGGTATATCCACCTCTAAGTGCCCGGATGTTGTCATATTAAAGGTGAATAGTGTACGGAAGTACTGGCTACAACTAGCAAATTTTGAGGCACAGCACAAAATAGACAAAAATCAGAAAAAAATTAAATTATACTTTTTATATATTTTTGGATACATTGGATTCATCAACATGAACCTTTGGACCAGAAAAATCAGTCTTTTAGGTACAATTAACTTTTTAAGTGACTAATTTGTTTTCAGAAATGCTGTGGATCACAGAAGATAGTTCAATATAGCTATCAGTTCTTGTAGCCATATCCTAGTGTAGAAATAAAAACAAAACTCTGATTCAGTGAAATATTAATTCAGACTGTTCATTCCCTATATTTACTTTTAACTATGCCCTGACTATGGGAAACAAGTGAAGTCTATTTTTTTAACCATGACCATGCCATATATTATTTAATATTAATTAAGTTGAAGTATTTTTTAGAAAGGAAATTTATGATACATTTTTATGTTCTGATAATGAAACTTGGTAATTAATCTCAGATGCCTAGCTGAGTCTGATATATATTAAAAATCTGAACAATTAACTTAAAAGTTGCAGCTAATCAGCTAGACTTAGACTTTCAAAAAATTAAAAATGAACTAAGAAGCAAACAGTAAAAATGTAGGTAACATTTAATTTATAATTATAAACCACACAACGAGTATAAACAGCTGTTTGCTGTTTTATTATTATAGATTAGAAGTATTACTTATACAATATATACCTGGCCAAAATATTTCGATGCACATGCATTTTTCTTCCATCTTTAGGGAACACAATTGTTACATCACAGAATAGTCCTTTTGACCTAAGATCTTCTAGCTGTGGACCCAACTCACGTCTAAAGTCCACCATCATGCACACCCAACTGGATCTGAAAAATAAAACAGTGTAGTGCCTATAGCCATAGCTTTTTTAATGCTCAAGACATTGATGTTTGCCTAAAGTGAACTTTAAGTGTCACAAAGGTAAAATATCGATTAACAATACAGGAACATCCGACCAGGCTTACAGCTACAGTTTGAAAACGAATGCCATTATTGCATTGTCTCAAATTTGACTCTCTCAAAAGAAGAGGTGCACCTTTCGTTTATTTATTTAATTATAATGCTATTAATGTAGTTGCATCTTATATATATATATAATGTTACTAATCATATGATCTGATTTGAATCACCGTGACCATTACTGGCAGATTTTAAAATTAACTTATTGATATTAGTTTAAGTTTAGACAGACACTGTTTTTTTAACGTTTTTTTTTTTTAAATTAGTGTTTGGAATTGTAATGATTGCTAATACTATTACTACTACTACTCATGTCATACTCATAGTATAATATATAATATAGCCATTAGACTTGGATTGGTTTGAAATTTATGGAATATCGCCTTATCTTGTATTTTTCAACTGAGCTATTGCTTTAACTTTAAGATTTAAATAAAATTTTGTAAATGATAATTCCAGCGTAAGAATGGTATTGTTTTTTTCTCGTAATTTCAAGTTTGGCTGTCATTTTAATTGTATTTTCGAAAGAAAATCATTTAGCCGTAGCTGCATAGTTGTCATGGCAGTTGTGCGGCTGTGCGATTCAAAGACTATTAGCACTAAAACTATTGTTCTTTTTTTTTTTTTTTTTTTTTTTTTTTTTTTTTTTTTGTTATACCAAATTATTTTTTTTTTTTTTTTTTTTTTTTTTATTTTTTTTTTTTTTTTTTTTTTTTTTTTTTTTTTTTTTTTTTTTGGTGAAACCAAATTAATGTTATTGTTTTTTCTTATGCATTTCAAAAAATCATGGTCCAACCAAGTGAATAAACCTATACCCTCCTTATATTACCAATGTTCCGGCCAATTTCCCTCTGATCAGACACTGGAGGTTCACTAATTTATTTTTGGAAACGCAGTGTTTATTTCCTTCTGGAACCTCCATTTTTGAAACGCATTCAGCGAATTCTGACGCCATCAAACATTGTCGACGTCATGAAAAAGATACCCATGAAATAAGCGCGTGCTGAAGAATAACTAGAAACGCTTCCGGCAAAGGTAAGTTATCTCATTTTCGCATACAAATTGTTTTCGCCAATGTTCATTGCTGCAGGGAAATTTTAATGCTAAAATAGTTGCAGTCTTTTGCAAAAATATCAGGAAGTAAATTCTTTATTTTGTTTCTAATCCGCGGAGTCAAAAATAACACGGTAAATCAAACGCTATGCTTATTTACCTCTCGTTCAAGGAAGTCGGATTCGAAAAGAGATTCAAGAGCAAGTCCAAGCGTGAATGAGAATGTGTTAATGTTACAGTTCTGTTCGTTCTGCCTCTCCTTGTGTTTCTAAATACTGTTCCAAGTCAATTTGCGTTTGTTTTGCGTCCTAAAAAAATTCATTCGTGTTATGAAGTGAAATCAGAAAAAAAACATGGTTGCTTGGGCGTGTACAAGCAATGACGTTCTCACCAAGGATGCAAATGACTACGTCATTTTAGCGCCACTCACAGATACAAAATGGCGGGCAATCATTGGAATCATTGTCTACCAGGCATTAACTCAACCGACGACACGGCGATGTGGACCGCGGTATACATAATTTATTCGTGATTAAGTGACAGAAATATCTATAATTATATCAAGAGGTTCAAAGGTTAGAAAAATAAAACATTAGCCAGCTACTTCCTGGTCCCCTAATGGACTGCTCCAGATGCTCAAATTGACCACTCCTGTTGTCCTAATGGACTGCTCCAGGTGCCCAAATTGACCACTCCTGGTGTCCTAATGGACTGCTCCAGGTGCCCAAATTGACCACTCCTGGTGTCCTAATGGACTGCTCCAGGTGCCCAAATTGGCCACGCCTGTTGTCCTAATGGACTGCTCCAGGTGCCCAAATTGACCGCTCCTGGTGTCCTAATGGACTACTCCAGGTGCCCAAATTGACCGCTCCTGGTGTCCTAATGGACTGCTCCAGGTGCCCAAATTGACCGCTCCTGGTGGCACATTTTTCTTTATAATTATTTGAGGGGCGGCATCTTCGGCAAACTGCAGAATTTATTCGTGGACGGGAGCGGCAAACCTCTTTGCCAGCCCCGGACTGCACTGACCCTAGCTATGCCACTGGGTTTTTTCTTCTCCATATTTAGACTGTCATTGTGATTGTGTGTGGAAGTTGGGGACAAACCCAAAAGCGATTTTATTTAGCTAAGCAATGGTGTAAGGCAGGCCGGGACAACTCAAACAGTGAGGCGGGCCGTAATACTTTATGAAAAACTTGTGCGGGCCGAAATAATATAGGACGGGGGGGGGGGGCGGGGGGAGAGGCTATTAAGGGGGAAAAAATAATAATAAAGAATATTTCGTTATTTTGTGGGCCGCAAAGAGGATGCGGGCGGGCCGTAGGTTGTGCAGGCCTGGTGTAAAGTCATGCAGAGTAAAAAAAAAAAATGAAGTAAAGGCAAAATTTTAATAGACTCTAGATCTTCATTTAAAATGTTAAATAATTTCAATAATATTATTATTATATGAACAATATGTTTGGCATCAGTATATATATGAACAATATAAAATATAATTGTATCCATTTTGATAAATTATTATTATTTTAAGTGGTTTTATATAGCGTGGTACCCCAGTCCCCAGCCTAGGGCTATGATCGCCACGCTGTACATACAATTTAACAAACATAATTTTTAAAAAACATTTTAAATTAATTGACAAACATTAATTAAATAAAACAAAAGAAATGTATATTTAAAGCTATTGACATGTCAATTATATCTGCTGAGAAACGCCCTGGGAGCCGCGGGTAAAACAAAGAGCCGGATCTCATCATTGAAAGACCTGCACGCGGCTCCGAGGCCGTGGCTCGCCGACCAATGTTATGTGCATATCAACGAGTTGAGGGAACCATTTCTTTAACGACATAGATGTGACATAGATTTAGAAGTTTTTGTTGTTAAATAGGCCGATGGCATATAGCCTAGGTCAGTGGTCGGCAAATCGCGGCTCGCGAGCCGCATGCGGCACTTTTAGCGACCTCAGTGCGGCTCGGTCAGTCGGCCACAAATAGGTTTTGACTCCTAAAAACATGGTTCTTGTAAAGAAATGTGACTCTCAACATTTTTTAATGCTCCTGCTGCTGATATTTTGCTTTCTTGACTAATGAGTTTGCCGACCACTGGTCAAGGTAATGGCTGTTTATGACAAGCGTCGGGCTGTCGCTTTAAATGGTCTTCTTGGTGGAGAAAGAGTCTTTTTTTTTAAAGTTTTTTTAGGGCCATCATTATAATAAGGTCAAGGCCAACACAAAGATGTGTAACGTCAAAGGCGCCCGACAGCAAACCAGTAACGTTGTTAAAATATCGAAAGTCACGTGACGCCAAATTCTAATCATGCAGATTGTTTCCCAGGCCAGGTGCCCAGTCCAGCTGTGAAATGTCCAATTTATCGCTGACTGTGTGACATCCCCAGTGAGCGGCCACCACGATGAGACGCGCGGCTAAGAAGCGCCCGACGCTCGGGAATCTGTGGGAAGATGTGTCCGACGTCCCCGATGAATCCTCCACCAAAGTTGTGCACTTGGCCGTAGTTCATCCTGGCACTTTTGTGGCATGGAGTGGACTCCGTCTTATGGACGTCAAAAGGTTGGATACCCGTTATAGTTATAGTGTTCAAAAATGTGTAGATGCCCGTTACATCGTACTTAATTCGAAGAAGCCCGTAGTATTGTGTGTTTAGGTACACTCACGAACAAAAACAAGATGTATTTTCGGGGAGAAAAGAGTATATTGGGTTGGTGAATATCAATGTCATTTCCGTTTTCATATCATTTGTTGTTGCCATGGTTTGGTTGAGTAAACGTGGATCGGATAACGTTACCGTGTATTGAGAGGAAAGAAATTATTCAGAGTAAATTATACATTTTATTTAAAAAACTATATTATTGGGTCTGTTTTAAATAGCCTCACTTAACTTACTGGAGTCGAGTTTAGAAATAACATGATTTTGGAACCAACCCAAATTGGTAAAAGTAGGCGGAAAACCACGGGGAAGCTACTCTGTTTTACAAAAATTTGAACGTAGTCCACACAACTGTTGCCAAGTCATGCAGCCATATGATTAATATGAACGATTTGGCCCACACAAAAAAACATGAAAAATCCCTTGGCTGAAATTAAGAAGTTTTAAGTATTATTACTTTTTTTTAAAAATAGTTTTTTTAAACATTTTTTTAAAAAAAAGATGTGTGTTAAGTTGTTCCATTGCTTGTCTCCCACGACCGAAGAACTCCTACCTGGGTGATGCGAGACCGCTACTCGGCCACCTCGCAAACGTTTGTCGTGAGTGACGAGGATGACGAAAGTGAGGAGGAAGAGGAGGAAGACTTGGAGGAGAAATATGAGGACGACATGCTGAACAAGATCAGGGCTCAGGTCATGGCCGAGAAGAAGATGAAACGGATGATCGGTGTCAAGGTCAAACAAGAGGAGGAGGAGTGGCGTGAGTACCATAAAGAGGGGGGAGGGGGAGTCTCGGTGGTAGATACAAACATTTTTGTTTCCGGTTTTAATGATCAGTGGCTCATTCATTCATAAATCTAAATTAACAATATCTCCCGTATACCCGACCCCAGTGCACGCTAGACATTGCCGTCTATATACCCCAGTACATGATAGACATTGCCGTCCATATACCCCAGTACCAGTACATGATAGACGTTACCCAAGAACATGACTGACAGTGTCCTATTTGTCTCCCCCCCCCCCATCCATGGATGCAATATAACGGGTTTAGACAATTTTATACATTGTATACCTACAAAGTGTCATACTGTCACAATGTCATACTGTCACAGTGTCATACTGTCATACTGTCACAATGTCATACTGTCACAGTGTCATACTGTCACAGTGTCATACTGTCACAGTGTCATACTGTCACAGTGTCATACTGTCACAGTGTCATACTGTCACAGTGTCATACTGTCACAGTGTCATACTGTCACAGTGTCATAATTTCACAGTGTCATACCACCACAATGTCATGCCACCACAGTGTCATACCGTCACAGTGTCATACCACCACAGTGTGATACCACCACAATGTCATGCCACCACAATGTGATACCACCACAATGTCATGCCACCACAATGTGATACCACCACAATGTCATGCCACCACAATGTGATACCACCACAATGTCATGCCACCACAATGTGATACCACCACAATGTCATGCCGTCACAGTGTGATACCACCACAATGTCATGCCACCATAATGTGATACCACCACAATGTCATGCCGTCACAGTGTGATACCACCACAATGTCATACCACCACAATGTGATACCACCACAATGTCATGCCGTCACAGTGTGATACCACCACAATGTCATGCCACCATAATGTGATACCACCACAGTGTCATACCGTCACAGTGTGATACCACCACAATGTCATGCCACCACAATGTGATACCACAGTGTCATACCGTCACAGTGTGATACCACCACAATGTCATGCCACCACAATGTGATACCACCACAGTGTCATACCGTCACAGTGTGATACCACCACAATGTCATGCCACCACAATGTGATACCACCACAGTGTCATACCGTCACAGTGTGATACCACCACAATGTCATGCCACCACAATGTGATACCACCACAGTGTCATACCGTCACAGTGTGATACCACCACAATGTCATGCCACCACAATGTGATACCACCACAGTGTCATACCGCCACAATGTGATACCACCACAATGTCATGCCACCACAATGTGATACAACCACAGTGTCATACCGCCACAATGTGATACCACCACAATGTCATGCCACCACAATGTGATACAACCACAGTGTCATACCGCCACAATGTGATACCACCACAATGTCATGCCACCACAATGTGATACAACCACAGTGTCATACCGCCACAATGTGATACCGCCACAATGTGATACCACCACAATGTCATGCCATCACAAGGTCTTGCCTTCAAAATGTCCTACCTAAAATATGTAACAGGGTCCTACCAACAATATGTGACAAATCCTACCAACACAGAGTTACAATGTCCTCCCAACCCCGAGTTACAATGTCCTCCCAACACAATGTAACAAGGTCATACGACCACTACACGTGCAGGCTTGTCCAACTACAAACTGACCAGTCTGACGGGCAAAGGGGAGGCTGAGTTGATACGACTCATCTTTGTCATCGCCAACCAAACCTACATCGATGAGAGGATTACCAAGGAGGAGTGGGACGAGAGAAAATCAAGTGAGTGGGCGAGAGTGGTACTGAGTGGGCGAGAGTGGTACTGAGTGGGCAAGAGTAGTACAGAGTGGGCGAGAGTGGAACTGAGTGGGTGAAAGTGGCACTGAGTGGTCGAGAGTAGTACTGAGTGGTCGGGAGTAGTACTGAGTGGTCGAGAGTGGTACTGAGTGGGCGAGAGTAATACTGAGTGGGCGAGAGTAGTACTGAGTGGGCGAAAGTAGTACTGAGTGGTCGAGAGTAGAACTGAGTGGTCGAGAGTAGTACTGAGTGGTCGAGAGTAGTACTTAGTGGTCGAGAGTAGCACTGAGTGGGTGAGAATAGTACTGAGTGGTCGAAAGTAGTACTGAGTGGTCGAGAGTAGTACTGAGTGGTCGAGAGTAGTACTGAGTGGGTGAGAATAGTACTGAGTGGTCGAGAGTAGTACTGAGTGGTCGAGAGTAGTACTGAGTGGTCGAGAGTAGTACTGAGTGGGCGAGAGTGGTACTGAGTGGGCGAGAGTTGTACTGAGTGGGTGAGAGTAGTACTGAGTGGTCGAGAGTGGTAATGAGTGGGCGAGAGTAATACTGAGTGGGCGAGAGTAGTACTGAGTGGGCGAAAGTAGTACTGAGTGGTCGAGAGTGGTACTGAGTGGTCGAGAGTAGTACTGAGTGGTTGAGAGTAGTACTGAGTCGCCGAGAGTGGTACTGAGTGGGCGAGAGTGGTACTGAGTGGGTGAGAATAGTACTGAGTGGTCGAGAGTGGTAATAAGTGGGTGAGAGTGGTACTGAGTGGGCGAGGGTGGTACTGAGTGGTCGAGAGTGGTACTGAGTGGTCGAGAGTGGTACTGAGTGGGTGAGAGTGGTACTGAGTGGGCGAAAGTGGTACTGAGTGGTCGAAAGTAGTACTGAGTGGGTGAGAGTGGTACTGAGTCGTCGAAAGTAGTACTGAGTGGTCGAGAGTAGTACTGAGTGGTCGAGAGTAGTACTGAGTGGTCGAGAGTAGTACTGAGTGGTCGAGAGTAGTACTGAGTGGGTGAGAATAGTACTGAGTGGTCGAGAGTGGTACTAAGTGGTCGAGAGATGTACTGAGTGGGTGAGAGTGGTACTGAGTGGGCGAGGGTGGTACTGAGTGGTCGAGAGTAGTACTGAGTGGTTGAGAGTAGTACTGAGTCGCCGAGAGTGGTACTGAGTGGGCGAGAGTGGTACTGAGTGGGTGAGAATAGTACTGAGTGGTCGAGAGTGGTAATAAGTGGGTGAGAGTGGTACTGAGTGGGTGAGAGTAGTACTGAGAGATTCTTATTGTGTTTGAGAATGGTAAAAAGAATGGTATTGTATGTGATACTGGTATTGTCTGTGAGTGTTATTGTGTCAGAGTGTTCTTGTGTGTTAGAGTGTTATTGTGTGCGATAATCTTTTAGTATGTGAGGTTGGTATTTTCTGGAAGAGAATTATTGCTAGGGGTACGAGACGGTCAGAGGGAGACAGAGGGGTTATATTATAAAGAAAATGGCGCATGTCTTAGGAGGACATAATTTATCGTTATGGAACAGCACATCTTACTTGGAAACTTCCTTCACTGTTATCACATGTCAAACTCAAGGCCTGTGGGCTACATCCGGGCCATATCAGGCCCGCGAGGTCTTGACCGGCGTACAATTATATCCAAGTCAACGCTATGATGTTTCCCAATGCACACTTTGCTGAAAACCTTAGCTTACTTCGCGCCGAGTTCGCAAGGCGCTTTAGTGACTTTGAAGCACAGAAATGTAATTTGGAGCTCTTTCGTAACCCATTTGTCATAGACGTGGAAACTGCACCTGTAAATTTGTAGACGGAGCTAGTAGAGCTGCAGTGTAATAGGGCACTAAAGGCAAAGCATGACACAGTTGGGCCTGCACAGTTCACTCGTTTCATTCCTGAAGAGATGCCCCAGCTTCGTCTACGTGCGGCTCGAGCCTTGAGCATGTTGGGTAGCAGATATCTTGTGTGAGCAGCTGTTTTCTGTGATGAAGATTAACAAAACATCACACAGGAGTCGTCTCACTGATGAACACTTGCAGTCCATCAAGAGAATCTCAATGACAAAGAACGTTGCTCTCAAAATAAACGAACTTACTTGTTTTTATAGCCAAGACAATGTGCCAAACATCCAGCTGTGACAAATTTGCATACGAACGAAAATGGGTTTGCCAATGGAGTTTTAATTTTTTTTTTTTTTCTGTTTTGTTGGGACCGCAACCTAACATGTGATTTGAGTTTTGGCCCGCCGAGCAATTGAGTTTGACACCCCTGATATAGATTATAAATGGAAGGTTAGCGATAGATAAGTAGGTATGCGCAGTAGGTATGCGCAGTAGGTATGTACAGGCTTTTCGACCGACCCGAAAACCCAAAACCGATTTAATATTTTAAAATTCTCGACAGTTTCAAAATTCTGGCTGTAATGGGCACCACTGCCCTATCATCAGCTGCGGTGTTTGATGACGCCCCACAGTCATAATGTGCCAGCTCACTCTTATAATCACTTAATTGATGACGCCGCACAGTTATAATGTGCCACCTCATCACTCTTGTAATATGTTCCCGTAACTATTCCAATACATGTTAAAAAGAAAAAAAAATCGACCAACCCACTTATACCCGTCTCTTATTAACCATAAAACTTTAAAAAAACAGCCATGCGCCCAAATCGTGTGAACCACTTCCGTGTCCATGTACTGACGTCTGTCAACTAGTGCAGCGCTCAACAAATGCTGGTCCTCGGGCCGGCACCGGTCAGCGAGCCTTACGTTGCCGGTCCGCACAACATGAATATCTATGGTCAAATAAGACCTGGATAAACATAGCTGACAGCGGTTCCTGATTCATTTTTTAAACGTGTCCACTAGTCAGCCAAACTTAAAATGTGGAAAACGCTGAACAAGTACAAACGTTAATAGTGGATGATGACGACATGTCTCCATTGGGAGCTTGAGTACATTTCTAAAAACGTGTCCACCTGCCTCATGTCAGTTGTAAAGCACCGATTCCATTGAAATACCCATTGCACGCACATTTTAAAGCGCTAATGTCATCTAAATACCCAGGTCATGTAAACCGCCAATGTCATGTAAAGCGTAATTGAAAGCATATCCCATGGTTTTGCCCACAGATACTGCCTACCAAACATTGCCCATTCTGTCCAGGTGCAAGAAGCAATGGGGAGAATCTGGTGCCATCGTGCGAATGCTAGCCAGGAAATTCTGTAAGCTACTCTCTGTTCTTTCTTTCTCTCTCTCTCTCTTTCTCTTTTCCCCTCTATATGTCTCTCTTTCACACTATATGTCTCTCTTTGTCACTGTCTGTCTCCCTTTGACACTCTCTGCCTCCCACTGTTTTCGCTTCATCTGTTATTTCTCTCTATATCTCTCTCCCGTCCGCTCTCTCTCTCTCTCTCTCTCTCTCTCTCTCTCTCTCTCTCCACCATTAAAACCCAGACACCTTTTCCTTTACAACGTAAGATGTTTTCACAAAATCACTCTTGTCCTCCTTTTCCAGCACTAATATCCATCCCAACCCTGTCCCTCATTCCAGTACTAATATGCATCTCAAACCTGCCCACCTCTTCAAGTAATAATATCCATATCAGCCTTGCCCCCTCTTCAAGTACTAATATCCATCTCAACGTTTCCCCCTCATCAAGTACTAATATCCATCTCAACCCTGCCCACCTCTTCAAGTACTAATATCCAACCCAACCCTGCCCACCTCTTCAAGTACTAATGCCCATCTCAACCCTGCCCACCTCTTCAAGTACTAATGCCCATCTCAACCCTGCCCACCTCTTCAAGTACTAATGCCCATCTCAACCCTGCCCACCTCTTCAAGTACTAATATCCATCTCAACCCTGCCCACCTCTTCAAGTACTAATATCCATCTCAACCCTGCCCACCTCTTCAAGTACTAATATCCATCTCAACCATGCCCACCTCTTCAAGTACTAATATCCATCTCAACCCTGCCCACCTCTTCAAGTACTAATATCCATCTCAACCCTGCCCACCTCTTCAAGTACTAATATCCATCTCAACCCTGCCCACCTCTTCAAGTACTAATATCCATCTCAACCCTGCCCACCTCTTCAAGTACTAATATCCATCTCAACCCTGCCCACCTCTTCAAGTACTAATATCCATCTCAACCCTGCCCCCCTCTTCAAGTACTAATGTCCATCTATACCCTGCCCCCCCCCTTTCCTATTCCCGTAATTAAGCACATTTCAAACTATTTCTATACATACACCCATCTCGCGTAGTCCCTTATTTTAGTACTTATGTCCACCTGACTCGCCCTTTAGTTCCCAGTACTAATGCCCACCTGACTTGCCCTGTATTTCCCAGTACTAATGCCCACCTGACTTGTCCTGTATTTCCCAGTACTGATGGGTGTCAACAATGACGAGCATCTTACAGTGGAGGCCACCTACGAACGATTGAGGCGACTACAGCGGCAAAATAAACGGGCAATTTCTTGGGTGATTTACGGAGAGAAGAACAAGGAGAAGCTGGTGAGAACGTCATTGTCCTTAGTGGTCATTAGAAGCTATCATGGTCCATTGTGATCATTAGAAGCTATCATGGTCCATTGTGGTCATTAGATGCTATCATGGTCCATTGTGGTCATTAGAAACTATCATGGTCCATTGTGGTCATTAGAAGCTATCATGGTCCATTGTGGTCATTAGAAGCTATCATGGTCCATTGTGGTCATTAGAAGCTATCATGGTCCATTGTGGTCATTAGAAGCTATGTTTGTAATGAATAACTGTTCATAGGCTTCAATAATTAAGTAACCTATTTAAAACCAGGAGCCATGACCCCGTGTTGCCCAGGGTATTATTCGAAAGTATATTGCGTTACTGTAATAAACCTGCCTCTGCCAAGTCTTATTTTGATCATGTCTCGGTGTTTTATTTACTCTAAAACTCCCGGTACAATTGAACCAAGGGCGAATTAGTTAAGCTAAGCGATATCCGACTCTAGTATTGCAGCCACAATGAAACCGATACATTAACAAAGACGAAGTCGCTAAGCGATATCCGACTCTAGTATTGCAGCCACAATGAAACCGATGCATTAACAAAGACGAAGAGTTGCAGTAAAGAATTCTCATACTGTGAGACACGTGGATCAATGTGCCGTTTGGAATGGTTTAGTCAACATAATAAGGGACCATGGGATGGGTGGAGGGGGGGGGGTATATATGGGGTGGAAGAGAAAATCCTCTCTCAAAAACAAACCACATCATCCACTGAAGTGTGAAGACGGCAGCGAATTTCAGTGATTCTAACATTTCAGGAGTGGGCACAGGGTCAACTGTTGCACGTCATACTGCCACCATCTCTCAAGGAGTGGGACCAACTGATACAAAAAACTCGAGGACCGTTCATCGCAGCTTCAGGGGTCAGTTCCAAACAAGATGTTAACCGTTGCATTGAACATTCTCTAAGAGTTGTATGAGATTGGGTGTGGCTCTGTGAGGTAGTAGTGTACGTCTGTGAGATGTTGAGTTATCACCATCACAATCACCATAACTGTCAACATGACCCTTGCCATCAAACTGAGTATTACCATCAAACTGACCACTACCATCAAACCGACCACTATCATCAAACTGACCATTACCATCAAACCGACCATTACCATTAAACCGACCATTACCATCAAACTGACCACTACCATCAAATCGACCATTACAATCAAACTGACCACTGCCATCTATTTCCCCAGATAACAATGGCCGACATTGCCATCGTAGACTTTCTTGACCAGTGCTCCTCCCACTTAATGATAGACTCCCTCCTAGCGGACTTCATGGCCATCAGCGATCTCATTTATGTCGTCAAAAACTGCCCGAGTGTAAGAAAGTACACAGATGAGCGACAGGAAGATTAACCCTCATCCCACGCACCCACTCCACCAGAGCGACAGGAAGATTAACCCACTCCCACGCACCCACTCCCACCAGAGCGACATGAAGATTAACCCACCCCCACCCACCCACTCCCACCAGAGCGACCAGAAGATTAACACACATCCCACGCACCCACTCCACCAGAGTGACAGGAAGATTAACCCACTCCCACCCACCCACTCCCACCAGAGCGACATGAAGATTAACCCACATCCCACGCACCCAGTCCCACCAGAGTGACAGGAAGATTAACCCACGTCCACGCACCCACTCCCACCAGAGTGACAGGAAGATTAACCCACATCCCACGCACCCACTCCACCAGAGCGACAGGAAGATTGACCCTATTAGTATTAGTCAATGCCCCCACCC